CAAGACTGAGGCTGGCTGCTACATAACCCAGTACGATGTGCTAGAGTACGCTGGAGACTGTAAGTATAATTGAGATTAGACTTGAGGAAAACAACTAACAGTCGCTCGCTAGACACAACTGATCTTAAATACTGCGGCCCCGCTTCTGAGGTTCAGAGGCTTACCCTTCAAGATGCAAAACTGAAATACAAGACTGAGTGCAGAATCTGCCCCGAGCTGAACTGCGATGTCGTATCATATCTCAACGAGAACACCGAGTTGGACCTGACTTGCTGGTATCCAGACGGACAACTCATCATTGATGATCCGTGAGTGACTCTCCATTGCCCAACACACACGGCACGAAAGTCAGCTGACATGAATGCGCGCACAGATACTGGCACAAAACAACAAACAACTGCTACGTCGCAAGGAAAAACTTGTACTCGAAACCTGACCTGACCAAGCTGGATGATTGCGGCCCCGTCCCATTTCTCGAGATCTTACACCACAACAATGAAAACGGTACAAGCGACGTGAACAGGCGTGAGCCGACCCCAGAGCCAGAGCCAGAGCTCGTGCCTGCGCCTATTCCCAAACGCGAAGCAGACATGAATGTCATGTACCTCATCAACGTCACCGTCGGCGAGGAGTACGCCTACTGCCGCTCCTGTCCCAAGGAGTCGTGCAAAATCGAGAAGACATTCGAGTTCAACAACGAGGTCTGGCTGCAATGTCTCAAGACCATCAATAACCTCCCTAGTGAGGGGCCCATCGAGCGCTGGAGCTTGACGACCGATTTCTGCTATATCAACAACAATGACTTTTGGGAGGATCCGGCGGGAGATTTCTACCGTTTCCCCTCTTGCGACCGGTTCGAGCAGGGCGGTGGCTCGGGTGGCGACGAGGATTAAGGCAAGGGATGTTACATAGTACGGTATCAGTGAACAATGAATGAATGACATGGGCAGCCTGACTCTTGCCACTTTGGCCTTGAATGCATGATTGTGGTATTACAAAATAAAAACTATTTACAAAAGAATGTGTTTCGTGACAACGCAACACTAGAATATACTGACTTTCCTCGCCTTGAAGATGGAGAAGGGATCCAGAATATTAAAAGAATGCCTGTTCTTGATGAGATCTGCTGCCTTCTCTGCAACAGCATACATTGTGGATTGCAAGTGTGTTGCGGGGATCAGTGGAATGATACTTGCATCTACGATGCTGAGACCCTTGATACCGTACACGGTAAGATCGCTGCTCACACAGCCGCCATACGCTTCTGGCATCATCGAGCAGCTACCAGACATGTGTGCAAAAGAGGCTTGAAGCCCATTTTGCCCGATGAGATCGTTGATTATCTCGTCGTCTGTCTGCGCTTGAGCACCGGGTGAGAGTTCGACGGGGGAGAATTTGGCGAGATCGGGGCTCGTCCAGTGGTTGCGCGTCCACCGGACCATTGCAAGAATGATCTGGCGGTCGACGGGATTTTGCAGAGAGTTGAACTGGACAACGGGGTTTCCGTACTTGTTCTTTGGGTTGAGTGTGATTGTGCCGCGAGAAAGCGGACGCTGCAGGGCGTTGATGGCGAGACCGAAAGGGACCATGGGGAACTCGGCGACGGCAGCATCAGGACTGGCGTGGAGGTTGGCAATGATGTCGCGTTGCTTTTGGAATCCGCGCAAGAGGTAATAGTCGCCATAGACAGCAGGGAGGTAGCTGCGCACATCTTGCGACTTTACTGTCTGTACAATTTCGTTACATTTGTCCGTGATGGTCTGCAGACTCAAAAAAGCCAAGCTGCTGCCATGGGCCTGAGTGAGAGGTCCACTGGCGGTGCTATCATATTCAGACCACACCGTAGTGTTGAAGTCCGGGTTGGCGCCGCTGAAAGGGTTTGGGAAAGCGAGGTTTTGCAGATCGAACATCATGTTGGCGTTGGGGTGATCCTGCATGTTGGCACCGACGGCTGGCATATGCTTCTTCACTGGTACACCAGCGGCACTGAGCACGTCCCTAGGGCCAATGCCACTGAGCTGAAGCAATTGAGGCGTAAAGACTGCGCCAGCCGCCATGATCACCTCATTCCTAGCGTACACCCTTTTAACAGAGCCATCCCTGCGCGACTTGTATTGGACGCCGCTAGCTGTGAGTCCGGTCAAGAGACCGCTGTTGAAGAGAATCTCATTTACGGTATTTCCGGTGATGACTACGAGGTTCGTGCGGCTCTTGATAGGATCATAGTATTCATTCTTTGCGTGAGACCGTGTTTGTGTCTTGGGTCGCAGAGCAGTGGGTATCCAGAACGCGCCTACAGCTTTGCCTGAACCTTGCTCCTTTGGCAAGGGCACACCAGCCCTCTTGTAGGCCGCCCAGATTGTCTTGGTGTCTTGATACTCGAATTTGGGGAAGGAAGCCTGGATGGGGCCGTTGGTGCCGTAGTACGATGCGTCGTATGTGGTGCCAAACTCTTTGACATTGGAGTCGGTTGGCGGTGTGAAAGTCGTTGATTTTTTGAAGTAGTACAGAAGATTGTTGAAGTTCCATCCGTTGTTACCTAGTTGTTCCCAAGCATCGTAGTCGGCAGCAGATGCACGGTCAAAGGCCATGCCATTGACGACTGACCCTCCGCCCAGAACGTTCCCTACCCAGACGGGGTGTGAACTACCAGTATTTTTGTCATATGCTGAAGTAATATCGTACATGAGCGGTTTGTTCACGCTGTTTGCGAAGCTGGGTACTCGCGTTGAAATATCATCAACCGCGTACCCATTTTCTATTACGAGCACAGTGCCTTGAACAGGGTCAAATTGGAACTTTCAAGTCCAAGGAAAACACTCACGGCCCGAGTCTTCACTAAGCCGGTTGGCAACAGTGAGTCCAGTTAGTCCTCCGCCCACAATAATGAAGTCAAAGGTTTGCCCGCCAACATCGGGCTCCGTATTGCTGTTACCACCATTTTGGGGATTGGTTATGCGTGGTACGAAAGAGGAAAGAAACAAAAGACCAGATAAAATTAAAGACATGATAATGAGCGTAAGTAAGCTGAAGAAATGTGTAGGCACCCAGTGAGAGGTGCAAAATACGAAATCAACAGTCCCTCTAGCTCCTTAAAGCGAGGTAAATGGAAGGTTTATACGTGAACTTACTCGCTACTGGTCAGAATCGATAAATGCTAGTACGTAGTTTGCGGATAGACCTCCCCTGAGGCAGCATAGTTACCCGAAACTTTGTACAACTAGCCAGTGGTCTGCTGCAGGCGAGGCACGGCGAGTACGGCGAGTGTGGCGACATCATTGACCATAAGAGTCTCCTTGCCTGGTTTTCTCAACGCTTGGGAAAGCGAAGATTGCCAATAGCTCAACGCGCTCACAGCGTGATGCTGAGTCTAGACCGGCGTAGCGTGGGCATAGCAGGTAGGTATGTCTTCTTTACTGACGGGTCTTCTAAATAGCACATTTTCAAATCAGCGGACCATGTAATGGCATGTTTTCAGGGTCTAGATCAATGGAGGGAACCAAACATAACGATGGTGAACACGAAGGAAAATTCGGCGCAGCTGGATGGCTATTGTAGGCAAAAACTTTGTGCAATATCGTATGACAAGCGCCACTTTGACAAAGAAGAGCATAGCTCCCATGTAGGCCTAGACCCGTGACCCTGTTTTTATGTCGATGCCGAAAAAAAGGTGGGGGAAATGGCGATGGCGTAGCTGTTCATGTAGGTACAGGGGGTTGAAACTTTGGGTCAATCCTGCAGGAGCCGTGGCCTGGAAGCGAGCGATAATAGACACGGCATATTAACTCTTGGCGAGAACGCCGCTTTGCTCATTATCGGCCTGCTCCTGACTAGTCTTGCTAGCTTTATTCCCGATGTCTAGGGTATCGACATTTGGCTAAGCCGGACGCTATTCATCGTCTAGATCGCCTGTGGCGTCTGGCATTGCCTAATTGGGCATCGATGGCTGTGGCTGCCAAACTAAATTACCTGCACAGCGACCAGCAACTACCTAGCGTCCTCTCAAACTTTGCAACAATTACAGCTCTCCATCCAACAAAGCCTCTTCTCAGCCCCGCTGCAGATCAAACGTCCGATGTTCAAACAGGCGGGATCTTGAAACGGTTAACCTGGGGCGCCTGAGGGTTTCGCTACGTACGTAGGACAATCCTTAGCACAACTGGCTGACAACCTCGGCCTGGCGAGCTACTTCAGGTAGGATGTGTCAAGAGGCGCGAGCTACACTTGTGTACTTGCACCGTTCCTAGTTTAGCCCAGGGCTCGTAATCAAATGTAATTCTGGCGGCAGCCACATGCCATAGGACGGCCATGCCGAACCTGAAAACTGTTGGCCTAAACGCCATCCCAAGCTAACCTTGCTTCAACGACACGAACCTTTCCTGGCCAGTCAAAGACGTGACCGCTGACTATGCCCAAAACATCCCACCTGATCAATGGGCAAAAGTCTTCACAAGTTCTCTAACGGTCAGGACTATTGAACTTACCTCGAGGCGTCCAGCCCTTGGTCGACATTTCGAAACTCTCTGCTACTCTGAAATGAAAACAGTAGCGACATGGCTCTAGGCAAGCGTAAAGATTAACAAACAACCATGGTTTAACAAATGCCTTTTCTGAATACGCTAAACATCGGGTTTACTCATACTAAGAGATAAACAGAGATCTCGAGTGGGGAAACTCGGGCGAGATCACCCCTTGACTCACCAAGTACGGATTAAGCGTTGACTCGCGCGACTACCACCAAACCATATGCAGGTACTCTGGCCGCTGTAGGATTTCGTAACCGTGTGTTTCGAATGGGCAGGTTTTGACGGCTGGCTGTGTACTTCCGTAGCATTAATGGGCGAATATTATAACGGTTCGCACACCCACGTGGCACCTGGTACAACTACTGCACAACATCTATCTTGGTAAGGGCACTAACATACCGGGACAATACACATCGGCCCACTCGCCCAGACCTTTTCTTTCTTTTCCCAGTTTTTAGTTTTCCTCATACCGCCATGGCTGTGCCTACGACACCAGAAGGGCTTCCTCTGGACGATCGTTCAAATGCCATCAAGATACCACTTATTGTATTGATTGTATTCAGCTCCATCTTCGTTGCAATTCGACTGGGCATCAATTGGAGGAACAGGAATTTCTTTCTTCTCACAGATCATTTGCTATGGACTGGACATGTAAGTGTAGCCCTTTGACTCTTACACGTTTCGTCCTAACATGATCAAAGGTAGTAGCTATAGCAGGCGGTGCATGCTGCTACAAAATGGCTGAATACGGTGGCGGAAAGCACGTCTGGGATCCATTCATGACACCACAACGCCTGGAAAAACAACTCTACTATGTTTGGCTGAGCCAGATACTCAATCTCTACGGAATGGCACTGGTCAAGCTTAGTGTCTGCGCCTACATTTTCATGCTCGACTTTTCCAAGACCTTTCGCATCATGATCTGGATCTCGATTGTTGTGCATGTGGGGATCAACTTTGTGTTTCCCACGGTGGTTTTATTCGGGGAATGCACGCCCTACTCCAAGCATTGGGACGTGACGGGAACCAAGCCTGGTTCATGTTGGGGATCAAAGCCGAGGGTTATCTCGGGCTACTCTGGAGCAGCAGTCAACATTGCGACGGATTTGCTGTACACAATGGCGCCTTTGGTGTACATTTCGCGGGTTCAGCTTTCGAAGCGCACAATCTGGGGTGTCCGCGCAGTCTTTCTCTGCGGTCTTGTGTAAGTTTCACAGGTCCCAATACACTGGACTTTCTCTGTGCATCCCACTAACAAAACTCTAGGACAACAACAATCTCCGCATTAAAACTACACGAAATGAAGGCGCTGGCCAACACCAAAGACCCAAGCTTCGAATCTGTCAACCTGAGCATCTTTGCCTCAGCCGAAGTCTTCGTCGGCGCATTCACCGCTTCACTACCCCCACTACGGAAAACATTCGAAAACTTCTTGCGCAAGATCCTTCCCACCAGCATCACCGGCTCCTCAGGCAAAGGCTCAAAAGTATCCCGTCAAAGCTACATGCTCGACGACATGGAGGCGCGGTCGACTGCCAAGTCCTGGCCGGGCAAACCGGAAACAGATGGCGACAGCGAGTTGGGCATACTACCTGATGAAGGAATCGCAAGGCCAACAAATAGCTCCGACCAAGCAATTACGAAAACCACACACGTCACCGTGACAGAAGACGACCGAAGTGCGATTTCACGGCGTCAAGACGAATGGGCATGACACCCCCTTTTTCCTTTGTTCATCAAATCTTCTTTCCTTCAAATGTACTTGTAAAACTTCCACGAAACAAATGATATCCACGATTTTGCAAACACTATAACACTCCTTTTCAAGGTTGCGGCCCCCCTGGCGTTTTTACCACATGCAAACGTTGCAGATCACACCCATGCCCTGCATAACCGAGGTCACCATCAAATCATCGTTGAAACCACTCCCTTCTCCAACATCTCTCTAACCAACCAACCAACCAACCAACCAACCTTTTCTTTTACTAACCCATACAACCCATTTCGCGTCAGAATGTCGACGTCAATTCCATACACCGTCTCCCTCTCCTTCCGCGGCTACGCCCAAGGCCGCACATTTCATGATCCGCAAACAGGGCTCCCGCAATGCCACTATTTCGGCGGCATACCTTACGCGCTCCCTGCGCAACGCTTCCAGCGCGCGAAACCGCTGCCGCCGTGCTATCGCTACGGCACGCAGGTTAACCCAGGGGTGTTTGACGGCGCCTGTGGAGTGTGTCCGCAGCCAGCGTCTGGACCGGGGAAAGAGGATCAAGTCGGAGAGGAAGACTGTTTGCAGTGTAATGTTTGGGTTCCGAGCGGTGAGGTACCAGTGGGAGGTCAGTTTTTTTCGAGGTTGTGCAATAGAGAGAGAGGGAAGGTAATGAGCTAACGCGGGGAGTTTAGGCTGGCCAGTGCTATTTTGGATTCGTATGTGGAATTTCCCTTTTTTTCTTTCTTTCTTTCCCCATCTCCTTTTTCCCAGTTTTCTGTCATTTTGTCCTATCTTCTGTTTAAACTTATTATTGGGCCGGTGTGATTGCGCCACTTTTTTGTATCCAGCATCCAGGTCCACGGGTGATCTTCCCGCCATGGCAAATGGCAAATGGAACATCCCGAGTACACGGGTCAAACATGGGGAAGGGAGAGAGAAAAAAGCAATGAAAACCCAAAAAGCCTGTGCAACCCTGTTTTCGTTTTAGTTCCGCATCAACATCGGGCACGGCACTTGACCTTTCGCGTCCCACATCGCCGGAAAGGAGATATATCACCAAAAAACACACGTTTCGCATAAAACTGACTCGAGACCTTTGTTCTTATTTGAAAACTTTAGACGGCGGCTTCCTCCAATGGGGCACCCCCAACGGCCTCGATCTCCGGTCTCTCCTCTCCGACTCGCCCACGCGCTGCATAATCGTAGCCCCCGCGTACCGCCTCAATGTATTTGGGTTCTTGGGTTCACGTCAGCTCGATGACGCGTGCGGTGGCGGTAGCGGTAGCGGCGAGTACGATGCTAACGTAGGGTTCTGGGATCAGCGGCTAGCGCTGCAGTGGACTCACGAGAATATCGCGTATTTTGGGGGTGACGCGGCGAATATCACGCTAGGTGGTTACTCGGCTGGCTCGCATTCTGTGTTCCATCAGTTGTCGTATGACTTGGGGTTGCCCGCGAGCAAAGCGGTAGTGAAGAGGGCCATGATGCTGTCGAATGGGCCGGGGATGCAACCAAAGAGCTTGGACGAGGCGCAAGATCAGTTTGAAGAGCTGATGCGGGTTTTGAGGATCGATGCCGGATTGGGGCCCGCGGAGCAGCTGGGGAGGCTAAGGGCGGTGCCGGCTAGTGAGATTGTCAAGGCGAGTGGGAAGATGAAGTTGCATCAGTTTCGCGCGGTGACGGATGGAGTGTTTGTTCGCCATGGGTTATTGGAAGAGCTGTCCAATGGTGTATACGCCCAACGAATGAAGCGGCGCAATATTCAGCTCATCATTGGTGAGTGCAAAGACGAGCACTTCATGTACGGGACTTGGCGCCCGCCTCAGCCAGGCTACACTTACATGCTGCACCGCCTCGAAGCCGACTATCCTCGGGAAGCTTGTAAGGTACTGATGTCACATTACTTTCCTGGCCGGAAGCTTCCATCGCGATTTAAGAGCTGGCAGGAGGCGTTTGGCCACATCTACGCTGATGTGCAGATTCACGCGCTACGACGGGGAATGGTGAATGCGCTTGTAGAACATGGAGCCGGCAGTCTAATTCACAGATATCGCATCGAGTGGCGTGCACGGTGCGTGGACAATGAGCTTCCCAGCCATTTTGGCGTCACGCACGGGTCTGACATTCCCATCTGGTTCTGGGGCAATGGCAGCGACTTGACTGAGGAGGAAAAGCAGATTGCAGCACGGGCATTTCATCACCCGCTGAGTAAGTTTTTAAGGGGAGAGGATATGGAGTGGGGGACGGAGCATGCGATGCAATTGCGGACGTTGAAGAGTGATGGTCGGGTTGTAGTTGAAGAAGATACGAGGATCGAAGAAGGTCTCAGGCTCTGGGATGCACTGAAGAAAGTTGGTGCGACGGGTGAGCCGAAGGAATCAGCAAGGCTTTGAGGGTGTAGGGCTTGATAGATTGCTGTATTTGAAACCGGGTATCGTCAATGAGAGATGTGACGGAGGTGTTATTGAATTAATCCTCCTTACTTCTTTGCCATCTTCTAAGACAGACACAAGTGTCTTGAACTATGACATTACGGGCATTATTTTCTACATTATTATTCAGCAGTTAAGCAAATCAAAAGAATTGTCCCAAACTCGTTCATCAACTTATCGTATTCGATAGTGAAGCACGGTCCAAAAACATATATTTTATTTTAGGAACTATACATCATATCATTTCATCATATACGCCAGCCCACTGCCATCAAACCAAAAAAGCAGCCCAGACATTACAATGGAACTCTCATACCAAGATCAAAATCACAAAGACATGATACAGCATGGTGCCACACAAACCAATTTGCGAGCATAGAGAAACTAGAGAGCGAGTGGAAGTGTGGCAAGTTTGCAGCGCAACCCGATGAGAAAAAAAGACCCAGAATATTGAAAAGAAAAGAATTGTGAGCTGGGAGTTTTTCCAAACTCGCAGACAGAGGTATCAACCATCATTGCGCCGTTAAACCATCCGACCCAATGCACAGAATTTTTTCAGTCAGATGAGAAAAATTATCCGAGAGTTTTGTTCTCCTTAGGTAACCGCTTCAGGGCTTCTTCGACATCCTTGTGGTCGACTACGACGCCGCTCTCAGAACAGCGGGCCTTGGCGCGGAGCTCACTGCACAGGTTATCAATATCGATGGTGCCATCCTTGAAATCTGGGCGACTTGAGAGCTTGTCCCTGCGTGCTGTTAGTGAATCCATGGCTTCAGTATGTGCAAACTCCACTAACCAAATCTTGTGGCAGTTGAGAAGCGAGTTGACATCCTCGCCTGGAACCACTTCGTCGTCACCATCCTGGCCTTCTTGTGCACGCTCAATCTCGTCGAGAGGATTTGGCTTCTGCACAGCTGGTGTATCACCAAAGTGGAAGGGGCTGACATAGCCAGTGTTGAGGAATGCGTCATTGAAGAAGCCACCGGTGAAGTCGCCGTCGCCAACAATGGCGTTTTGAGTATCGCGGTACTCTCCAAAGAGAGTAGGGTCGAATTGGCCGCCGTTTTGATTCGCGAGGTAGTCGATGCCGGTGACGGCAGGAGTCGGGGATTTGGCGGATAAGACTGCGGGAGAAGGTTTGGCGTCAGATTGAGACATGGCACGAGGCATGGGGTTACGAGGATTTCCACAGGCCATGTTGAGTTTTTCGCAGAAGAGCACCTCACCTTCGGAGTTTCCATGGCACACATAGCCGTCTGTGATTGTGTCTGCCTGCTGGTTGGGCGAAGCATGACTTGGTTCTGGGGATGTACCACAGGACGAGTTTTGATTGGTGGGCGATGTGGAAGAATTCGAAGGCGAGTCAGAATGGTTAGATGAACCACTGTTGAATTGGAAAACACGCGATTGTGATCCCGTGGAGCTTGCAGTGTTGCTGCGAGAGGCTCCATTGTTTGTTGTGCTGCTGCTGCTGTTGTTGTTGCTGAAGCCAAAGAAACCGTTCAAGCTGCCAGAGCGCTGAGTCTTTGCTCCTGCACTCATTGGGGCGGGAGAGTCGGTGGTGGAACCATTGGCGTTGCTGTTCGGGCTGAGGTCTCGTCCGGTACTGTTGTGTCGTCCCGATACGCTCGAAGACACGGAAGCGTTTTTGTTCTTGGTCAGTGAGCCGTTGTCGAGGAGCTGAGCGCCTGGAAGCCCGCCGAAACGTGGGAAGTCAAATGAAAAGTTGTTTACAGTGGTGTTGGTGTTGAGCATGGAGCTGAAGCCTCCAGTGAGCGGTGGGGTGCGACTGAGACCGCTGCTGTTCATTGACAGGCGTTTCCGGTACTCGCGAAGTTCCATCTGCAGCCTTTGTACCTGCGCGCGCAATAAGCCGTTCTCGTGGTTTGTAGCATCAGAGGCCTTTTCGAGCTCCTGGACCTTGGTCTCGAGATCCTTGAGGTGCTTTTCCTTGCGTTCCCTGAAAGCCCGCTGGGCGGCGCGGTTCTGGGCCTTGCGCTTCTATTGCTAGAGTCAGTTTTTGATCAAGTAGTCATCACCCGTTAGCGACCTACAGTTGTAGGCTCAGAAGTCAGCGGCTTGCGACCTGGCTTCTTAGCTTGCTTATCCTCGCCTTCTCTGCGCTTGCCGCCTCCCTCGTCGTCTTCAGCTTCTTCGTCACCAGGACTCTTGCGCTTCTCGCTCGAGTCGCCGGGAGTGTCGCCAGGAAGGGCACCAATCATGTCGCCGTCAGCATTTTCAAAGTCGAAACCGTTGTCGCCGTCGAGATAGTCGATGAAAGGGCTCTCTTCGATGCCGACGTTGCTGAAGCCAGTGCCGCCTGTAGATTGCTGAGGCGAGGTGAAGTAGGCGGGGTCGAGGGCGTCGACGGGATACTGGAACTGCGCGTCGTCCATGGATTGCTTGCTGTGATGACCATTGTGGAGGCCTGTGGAGAAGAGGTCGTTGGGGTTTTGGTTGTTGGAAGCGAGGGCAGCGAGGAGCAGGTCTTGCTGCGTGGCATCTAGGTAGAAGGGCGCGCCATTCTGGAAATCGTTGCCTGTGCCGGCCATTGCGAAAGCTGGGGTGAGTGTGGAAAGGCGGCTGGGGCAGTGGGTGAGCTGGGTAGCTGCGGAGACTCCGCGGGGTCGATGGGAGTGAGGGTCAGACTACGAGTGACTATTGTTGCCACCTGAAGCGACGCGGCGCGGCGTCACGGGACTGAGAGCAGGTAGAGTGTATGATAAATGTGTGAGGGATAAGGATGACGCAAAAGGTGTGGGTGGAACAGAGCAGTGTGCAGGGTGGGTAAAAGCGGGTAGGCTGCCGGTAAACGGCCGCTGAGCAGATGCAAAAGCGCCGATATCAGGGCGTCCCGTGCAGAGGGCGGACGAATATTGGCGAGAGAGAAGGAGAGGGAGACGGGGAGGGGGCGTGGGCAGTGGGTGGAAGCAAGGTGGCCAGAGGCAGGATGAGGAGGCCTAAGGGCGCAGTGGGATGAGGCGACACCCTTGCCCTGGCTGATGGAAGGACTTGGTGCGACTTTTTTCCGAGCCCGGCGTGCGGCGGTTGTGTTGCGGCGGACCAGCAGCAAAGCACGTGAGGGTCGAGAGAGGAACGAGGGAGGGGCTGTGGCTGCGAGGGGAGAGTGGAATGGAGTCGGGTCATCAGAGAGGCCGATGGGGAGTCGGGGATGGGCAAAGGGCGCAGCAGTGAATGTGAATGCAGTCAATCAGTGAGGCGCGGAGGGGCCCGTGGCTGATTGCTAAGCACGCGGTGTGGTGGGGGTGCAGGTGCGGACAGAAGGCCCTCGAACATGAACGACCGACAGCAACACCGACGCCTGTTCCTGCAAGGGCAGGTGTTTAGTGTGTTGTTATTGTTATTATTATCTACCCTATGAACTCTTCGAATAGCACCACACTCTAAGCTCCATCTAGTACTTACACAGTGCACTGCTTGGCCCCAAGAAAGCATTGCTTTCATTTCGACCATATGTATGAGACCCTAGTGCTCGCTGTCCTTGGCTGTGCAGGGCCTGCTGCCGTTGTCGTCGCATGTTGGAGATGCATCTTGATCGGCTCTACCATGCAGCCAGCAGCCAACCACCAGCTGCTGACTGCTGACTGATATGCATCGTGTGGCTAGTATGCAAGTAACCAAGTACCAAGTGTGTTGATTGATTGCGGGTGGAGAGCGGCGGTAGGGCTGAGAGCTGGGGAACAATCAAGGGTTCACAAACGGTGGGGCGTCGCCAAGCCTCGTGCCTGCCTCCAGCCGTCATGCTTCCACGACGCGACTTCCTCACCCGCCACGCCTACGTTGTCACCACCCTAACCCCCACCTTACCCACTCTCATCTGTCCATCCCACACCTCCTCACAAAATGGCCGACCAGCTCAAGTACACCAAGAATGCCATCAACGCGAAGAAGCAGGAGATTGCCCAGGAAGAGGCCCAGCGCGCAGAATGGGCCGAACAGCTGGCCCAGATGGATGCCTTGCTCAAGGACACTGGCGACAACCAGGAAATGAAATCCATGCGCAGTGAGATGATCGGAACCATTGCTCACCACGATGCCAAACTCGACCGCCTCCGCCCAGAGCTGGCCGCCCTCGAGGCTCAATTGCCCCAAGCCCCGGCTGCTGCCGAGCCTGCAGGCCCCAAGTTCGACCCTGAGAAGCATCCCGTTCTGCGCAAGGCCATGGAGAAGCAGGAGCCCGAAAAGACTGTCGCCTTTAGTATCGGAGAAATCTGCGAGGCCCAGTGGACTGACAGGTCTTGGTACAAGGCAAAGATTCAGAGTATCCTGGGTTCCGTCTCAGCACCCAAGTACCTCGTCCGCTTCATCGAGTACGACGATACCATGACCGTCGACCGCACCGCCGTCCGCCCTCTTCCAAGTAAGCGCAAGCGAGAACCTGACACAGCCTCGACCCCGACCTCTTCGGCCCCCGTCACCTCTTCGCATGTCATCTCGGGTCCTGCCACGACGAATCCCAACGCCGTGGCTGCCAAGCCTGCCGGTACAAATGAAGACATGGCCAACAAGAAGCCCAGCCGAGTTCCTACAAAGGGAACCCTCAAGAAGCGCGCCTCCGCTTGGGCCGACTTCCAGAACAAAGTCTCCAAGAAGGGTGTCGCCAAAAAGGAATCCATGTTCCGTACCAGCACCGAGGCTGGCAGCAGAGGTATGCATCTCTTCTACTCTTGTGTCCGTCCTTTATTAATGATTAACAGTCGGCTTCACGGGCTCTGGCAAGGGCATGACCGAAACCCACAAGCGTCAGCGCTACGATCACAAAGCCGATGCTGACAATGACGACGACTACCCTGCTTAAGGCGGGTGCTCTTGAGAAAGCTACGCATCAGCTTGCTGAATTCTCCGCGGTATGTAATAGTACATTCCAACGCTTATCAAATGTCTGAATCTCTGGCTTACAATGCCCTTTGGCCGACACCAGACCTAGACACGTCAGGCAGGAAACAGCAAAACGCACCTCGTCGAGCCGCCATGCTCTTCAGCCTTGTTCAAGAAGGACCCTTGCTGACTTGATGCAGCCCTTCATCCTACATGATATTCATCCCCACGAGTCCGCGCTTGCATCATCACGGCGTTCCCGGCATCTGCATATTTCTGGTATGATTCTTGGGCAAACAAATCTCACCTGTCCGGTCATGTCACTAAGCACGATCCGCTCGATAGGCGTTCGATACCCTTCCATATTTGAAGCTGACGCAAGCGACTACGAAATCTGCTGTGCTGAACAGAGGTCCATGTGTCAGGTAAGGCATACCCCAATGTTCCCTCTTGCACGTGCACATATCTGCTTTAGTCGTTATGTAGTTGCAGGCTGTCGATATGGACCAAATCCATTTTTCAATCAATTGTTCATGATTTACTCTTGTCCGTTGTATATCAAGTGATGTTTCCATGCGGCATTGACCCCAAATACTGTCGCGTCGTTGTGGGTATTCATGAATAGATGCCCCGCAGTTCCACCAAGAAGACCCAACGCACCCTCGCACTCGCGTCCCTTAGCCCCAAACTGCCACTTCCACCCCACGCCCTAATGCTGCACCACCCGCGACGCGACCGTAAACATAGCCGACCGAGGCATGTCGCAGCCGTCTTGTAGACGCACTGCATTGCGACTCGCATATTCATCATGGAAGCGGATTGGGACGAGGTACCATGTTGTTCAATCGTCGAAGCGCATCATCATCACTAACAGACAGCCCGACAGCTAGCAATCGTTCAACTGCCGCCCCCAGGACCACATCTCCCTGCCGTGCCCATATCCACATTCGCTTTTGACACAACCCAAGAACTGCTATGGACAGGTAACAACCATGTGAGTACGTTCGCACTCGGCCAGCCTGGAGCGCATTGCAGCTGACACTGCCTAGGGACGGGTCACGTCCTTTTATGGACCTCACCTTGAACGATATACCTCTTATCGCGGACACGCGCCTCCCGACGGCCCTGTTAAGCAATTCCTCTTCACCGACAAGGGCATCCTCTCCGTCTCCCAGCAAAGCGTCCATTACTCCCACCGGCGCGGCCTCACACATTGGCATCTGACGTATGTTTATGCAAGCACAATCATGGGCGGCAGCTAATCGCCAGCATATAGAAGCCCTGACTTCAAAGATCTGAGATGCATGAACTTTACCTCCAAGGGCACGCGCGAGATCCTCGTCGCAGGATGCCAGGAGCACATGTTCAAGGTAGACGTGGACAAGGGCGTCATTACGGATACTGTACGTTTTGGTCCATGCGACAAAGGTACACGGCTGACCTATGCAGCTGCCAGCTGAAGCTCAGTATACAATCATGAAGCGCGCGGGCCAGTACCTCTGCGCTGCGACCAAGAATGGTGGCATTCACATCATTGATTCCAACTCGCTATCAGTCATCAAGGTTTTCGAGGGTCACACTAGCAGTATTAGTGATATGGACGCAAAGGGGGATTTTCTTGCAACATGTGGCTGGTCGCCTAGGCAGCAGTTCGCCTTTATGCTCGATCCCTTTACGAACGTCTTTTCACTTAAGACGCTGAAGCAGCTGCCCCCGATTCCTTTTCACACGGGCGCGGCCTTTGTCCGAATGCATCCTCGCATGTCGACCACGGCATTCATCGCATCGCAAAACGGCCAGATGCAGGTTATCGACCTGATGAATCCAGACTCGGCAAATCTTCGCCAGCTCAATCTCTATGAATCCTATCTGACTGGTTTTGAGATGGCCCCATCAGGCGAGGCTATTGCGTTGGCAGACTCCAATTCTCATATCCATCTATGGGGCTCCCCGTCCAAGGTTCATTTTCCAGAATACAGCAATCCAACAGAGACTGCGGACCATAACGTCCCACCGCCCCCAGCCATGGATTGGAATCCGGACACGTAGGTAGATTCGAAGCCGGGGCGAGCGCTTTACTGACAGAATCATCAGGCCATTGAATACCGTGGGTATGCCCTACTACAAAGAACAGCTTCTCTCAAGCTGGCCTAGTCATCTGGTATTCGAAGTCGGCTCTCCTGCCCCGAAGATTGATAGCGCAATCCTCAACAACATGACGCGTGCTGAAATTGGCTTCTTTGCGAAAAATCCCAAAACCAAGCGCAGGAACCAGGCCGAGGCGACTCGACATGCGGACAAAGTGAGCGAATCGTTGTCGGCACCCAAATTTTTGAGCGAAAAGACGCGCGCCTCGCAGTCCTTGACGGAAACCGACTCGAAATTATCAGAGACAATGGAGAAACTGACTGACCTACACCTTGATGACGTCACCAGACGAGACGTTCCTGCAATGTATGGAAACGTGGAGATCAAATACAGCAAGTTTGGCGTAGACGACTTTGACTTCGCGTATGTCGTAACACCTACGCTTACTTGTTTCTCGTCTGACTCGGATCCAGGTACTATAATCAAACATCTTATTCGGGCTTGGAAACGCACATTACAAATTCCTACGCCAACTCACTCTTGCAGCTTCTCCGCTTTACACCGTTGATTCGCAACCTAGCACTGCAGCACACCGCATCGCCATGCCTTTTCGAGTCTTGCCTTCTTTGCGAGCTAGGCTTCTTGATAGACATGCTCGAAAAGGCTTCAGGATTAAATTGCCAAGCTTCCAACTTTTTGAAGACATTCAGTGGACTATCAAACGCAGTATCACTAAATTTACTGGAAGAGTTTGCGCCGAATGTGGCACTTACAAACATGATTCAGAATTTGAATCGATTCTTGCTTGAGAAAATATCAGACGAGTTCAGACAGATGCTGCCTAGTCAGCCCGGCCCATCGGCCATGGACCAAGTCTTGGAGACACAGGCCAGAGCAAGCATGCGGTGTGCCCAATGCACCAACGAGACCATTCGCGGGGGTAAGAACTTTGTCAATGAACTTGTGTATCCGGCAAAACACGTCATGAAGAACACGCGCATACCACGCCCTACATTCTCGCAGATCCTAAAGGCTAGCGTCGAACGACAAGATCAGACCAGAGGTTGGTGTACAAAATGCAATCGCTACCAGCAAATGATACAGAGGAAGACTATACAGTCTGTTCCTGGCGTACTCATGCTGAATGCGGCTATTCAGAGCCACGATGCTAAGCTGCTGTGGTCAATACCGAACTGGTTGCCGCAAGAGATTGGGATTATAGTAGATCAGGGCCAATTCTTCTGCTTTGAAGGCCAGGACTTGAAGCTTCACCTGCAACGTGGAGTACATCAGATTATGGTGTATGAGCTTGTTGGTGTAGTTGCCGACATCAACAGTGGAGAGCACCAAAAGCCACACTTGGTGGCAACCATCAATACAGCACCGTCGTCACGCAAAGATGATCCAGAAGATAGGTGGCATCTCTTCAACGATTTCTTAGTACGGCCAATACCAAAGGAAGAGGCTTTGCGGTTCGAACCGAGCTGGAAGCTGCCGTCTGTCTTGACGTTCCAACTCAAGTCTGCTCGTAACAAGATTGACGACTCGTGGAAAGACACCCTGGACACATCGATACTGTATAGGTGGTGGTCATCGAATCCAACACCCCCAGAGACCAAGTTCAAACTCCTTGATCACGCGACAGAAGCACCTCGCCCTGGCTATCCGGTCGCCATCGATGCCGAGTTTATCCGCCTACAAGCTGAAGAGATTGAGATGAAGGCCGATGGCACACGACAAACTATTCGTCCAGATCGCAAAGGGCTTGCTCGCGTTTCCGTTTGTCGTGGTGAAGGCGAACAGGCAGGCCTTCCGTTTATCGACGACTACATCGCCGTAACTGAGCAAGTCGTCGACTATCTCACCGAATGGTCCGGCATTTCCCCCGGCGACCTCAACCGCGAAACCTCACCTCACGCCCCAGTATCACTAAAGCACGCCTATAAAAAACTCTGGCTTCTTCTCAATCTCGGCTGCGTCTTTGTCGGCCACTCCCTCGCCAACGACTTCCGTACCATCAACATCCACGTCCCCAAAAACCAAGTCGTCGACACAAGCAACCTCTGGTTCAAACCAGACTTTAAACGCAAACTCAACCTCAAATTCCTCGCCTGGTGCGTCCTTAAAGAAAGTATCCAGGAGAATACGCATGATTCCATTGAAGATGCCACGACGGCTCTTAAGCTCTGGCGCAAGTGGCAGGAATTCGATGATGCGGGCGTCTTGGAGCAGATTCTTAACGATGTTTATGCCAAGGGGAGTCTGGTGGGATTCAAGGCGCCGGGGAGTGGGGGGAAGGCCGTGGGTGGTAGCAGACATCCACCTACTACTGCTGGTGCTGCAGGAGGTGAAGTACCGGAGCCCTTGACTACGCCGAAGAAAGGAGGGAGTCAGTTTGGGAGTGTGGGGTTTAGGAGTCCGTTGAGGAGGTGAGGTGAAAGTGGGGGGGGGGGGGGGGGTATGGGTAGGGGTAAAGACGGGGCTTTTTTTTTGTAAAAACAGGGTAAAAAATAAAATATTTTTCTTGGTCGCTGTTGTAGTTTACGTGATGTTTTAGGGTGTGTCTATTTGGGATTGCATGGACGTGTGTATGGCATGGTGAATTATCGCGCCTGTGATTGAATTTACTTGCCATTCTCCTCCATGTTTTTTGAACACTTCTTCAAGATACATGTGTCGGATGAGTCTTTGCTACACTCGCTTCGGTGCGTTGTTGTGTAGATTGTACATCTGCTTGTTATATACCGATCTTGCGGAGTATTGTTTGGGCAAAAGTATTGGGGTTGAGGGGATATGAGACTTGGTTTGTTATTGTGGCTTGGAAAAGAGAGAGAGAGAGAGAGAGAGAGTGTGTGTGTGTGTGTGTGTGTGTGGGGGGAATTGTTGTAGAGAGGTTATTTAGTATTATAGAAGTTTATTTTTTTTTGGAGGTAAATAGGGGTGGGAGATGAGGTGGAGTCGTTTCTTCTTCTTCTTCTTTTTCAATTCTGTCTTGAATTACATTGGCGATTTCCATCGTGCCTTTTGTTCTTTACCAGGTGGGGTTTTCTGGTCTGAAACTTGTTAAATAAGTCTTTCTGGAAGAATCTTGGATATCACTGGATCATTCGCGTAGTCTGTTAGTGGGAAATGCTTTGCTTGGATTGACTACCTCCATTACCACCCATTATCAGCTCACTACCATTACCCTTATACTCATCTTTCAAATTCCCCATACCACCGCTCATTTTCCTCTCATGCTTCTTCCCTTTTCATAATCTCCTCTCAGACATTCTATCTTTGTATCTCTAGCATCTACGGTGAAATTTATAGTGGCCTTCTCCACTCGAAGATCTATCGCATTCAGGTGTAACCTTGGTCCACTTGAGCCCAAGCTTGTAATTACCTACACCAAGTGTTAGTCCCATAACTACCATAGACTCAAGAAATTTGCGCAATACACGCCGTTGGAACTGGATATCTGGCTTACTCCTAGGAAGGGCAAAGTATCCATGTTGGCCCCCATTTTTCTCCATACATTCATCTGGAAGTCCGCATTGAGAGAAGTCAAGAGGACCAGTTCCAGATGTCTCTCCTATCAGCTGATCGTCAATGTATACTTCAAAGTGCTCGCAGCGGCCATGTGAATCCGATATCACAAGCACACCGTCTTCCGGCGCCTCAAATGATACATTTACTAAGCCTGGATCTGTGCCTGTGTACGGCTTACGATTGACTACGACTGGCTTCCAAGACTGGAGTGTTTGTTCAGTGCATGGCTTTTTCGTGAGCTGGTGGGGTGGTTCGAAAACAGATGGTGGTGGTGGCGGGATAGGGGATGGTCCCAAATGTGAAGGTCGCTCGTGGCTGAACATGGCGCCATCGCTGCACGTGCAACCGCACATTTCTGGAACGAGATCTAAGCAGGTTACGGTTGGAACTTGGCCTATGAGTTGGTGTCGGTTTTGAGAGTTTGGCCAGATAGCAGTGTTGACTCGCCGTTCGAGCATGTCATTCCTGACAGGCTACCGAGAAGCGTATCTGTACCGAATTGGGCAGTTGCGATACCGCATAGAAGGAAAGATGCGAAGGAAATCGAAGTACGCATGCTGATAGGTTTTTTGGGGAAATATTGATGGAGAAGTTGTTTAAAGTAGATGATGGATGTTGTAGTTGATGATGATAGCAACTCTTGTGCAGAAAGCCTTTGATTTATACACTTTTAGTTTTCCTTCAATGTCCAACATACCCTCGTGCATTTCGCGGTTATGGTCTGTTACTAGCTAGTTCAATCGACTTTTACCCCGTGATGTAGCTTCAAACGTAAACTTGTTGAGAGCAGGGTAATGCGGGAGCAAGGATCCGTCGTACGGACAGTATCCGTTCGGAACCTTTACCACAAGTATTATTGGAAGATACTATCTCTACAGAGTGTCCCATATATGTATTTCCGCTTTACACATTTTCACATCTCTCATAAACTCTTGTCTATCCAGACATGTCAAGATTCTCACTCACAAAATCATTAGTACCCAAAGGAAATGCCACAGGCCACTATAAGCCGGTATCCGCAAAAGAAACAATTTCCATCGTGTAACTCCACAAAAAGTAGGAAAGCTATGGCGCATTGTCAAAAACAGGCATCAAGCGATGCCAATGCTTCATAGATACTGCAGTACAGTCAAGCTTATTAGACGCACTTTGGTATCATACTGGACCCTTCTGAATCGCTTACTATACAGATATAAACAGTGCATCGGGGATGTTTGCGGGATTTTGTTGCAAAAAGTGGTTTGCGTCCATATATGGCTCTGACATGTCAGGCAAAAGGACTTTGGGGTTTAGAGTAATAGACTAACGTGGAAAGTGCATTGCTGGTTTTTTTAGAAAAGCAACCATAGCTAATGGAGGAGTAACGACGCGATTATAGAAGAAGTATAACAGGAAATCAGGAAAGATATGTACGTATTACATGTAGGAAATCTCGGAACTGCGGCTTGTTCAATGATATACGAGTATCGAAGTGTAGTCGCGTTATAATTCACAATAATTCACAATAATTACGATGTCAAACCTCAATCTTGTTTCATTTTAATGAAGCCTTTCATGATACTGCTTCGATGTCGGCTGAGACTCTAGATATGGAGATACTGTTCCGTCCTCTTTCGTCCTCTTCCTCCTCCCTAACCTGTCTCTCCACCGCTTATAGTTTTTCCTTCTTGCACTGGTTGTGCAGCTGAGTCTTTGGGTACCCTATGGCGGCAGTTCCACAATTTTCCTTTGGTGCGTATCTGATATCAACCAAGTATGTTCCTAGAAATGATTTTAGCCGTGAGAGCATGTATTTACCGCATTGATCGACCTAGACACACGACCAAATGAACTTTTCTGCAGCTTACCTTTAGGCAAGGTAATATAAGCCTCCATGTATTCACCTGTTTTGGTGCAATCTTCGCAATCGTCATCACTTGAAACGCTCGACCGTTCCGTTTTTGCGACCCTCCGTGAGTTAACAATTACTAGAAATCTGGCACAATCCTTATGATGCCAGGAGTCGACCACAAGGATACTATCTTCGTAAGCAGTGATGGCTTCGGTCACGAGAGAGTCTGGGTTCCACCCCAAAGGGGCTATGATGTGATTTTTCCAAGGTCGGGTAATTTCACCCAAACATGGTTTCTCGTGGAGTTGCCGGATTGGTGCAACGTCGGGGGTCGGTGTCGTGCTGGATTGAGCAGTTGCGATACCACACAAAAGAAGAAAAAGAGTTGAAGGGAATACTGAAGCACGCATGTTACCAGGTTTGGAGGATAGGTGAAGCACAAGATATTTGGAGTAGGGGAGGATGGGGAGCGAGTATCTTGCAAGAAGCCTTGGGGCTTGTATAATACGTATCTTGAGTCGAATTTTGGACTCTGACATGCTTTTATACCTTGAGTTGATGCGGTGTTGTTTCAAGGGGCTCGATGCTTTTCTCTCGACGTGGTGCAGTGGAAAAATAAACATGTTGGGAATACTGGACTATTTTTCTTCCTTTTTTTCCCCCTCGTCCACAAAGTCTCTAACACGCAATTCCTAGATAATCTCCTTCGAAACACCATAATATCCTCAAGATTCTTCCTGCCATGCCCTACCACAACTTGCTTAAGCACCCATCCCCGCCCAGCAATTTCAACGGTCTGACACTAAGGGCATGAATGGTCCCGGAAAAGGCATACTGGCCCCCTATGAAGCGGTAAAACCCAATGCAACTACCTTCACTGTATGAATCGTGTAGAAGAAAAGAGAGAGGGAAAGGAACCATAGGAAACATTGCACATTTTCAGAAGCGGGAGAAATTAAGCGATACCGAGGTGCTGTAGTAAGTGCAGGATGAAGAAGCCTACGATATGGACTCTAGCATCATTCCAGATGCTTCTGGAACTGCTGGATAGACATGGAAAGGGGTTCATTGCATTTTGTGGGTTCCCGATCTTTGTGTGGAAGATTCGAATGTGATTGAGGGCAGGTACTCGGCTGCGTTTATTGTACGGGAAAAACGTGCTGTATTTGGGAAATAAAGGGTAGACTGAAAGACGAGGCATCTGGCGAAATTGTTGATCAGACATAAGTAGTGATCCCCGTCTTGAATGTCTCTACACATTTGAGATAGCACATTAATTCTGATAGCAGAGGGTTTAATCTACAAAAGTCGAGAAGTTTTGATCCCCCCTCCTGTCCATGATTTTTACCGAACCTGATACAATGAAATGAATGCAATCAATTCCCAACGACCAGACGCAAGCCAATACCATGTGGACTCATAAATCTGTAATTCTAGTCACCCAAATTATTCCTCAACGGGATTAAAGTGACGTCATTTTTTACAGTCGCGTTCTCCTGACGCGTCCATTCGTGAATGGATTGTATTTTACGTGTTGCAAAGATTGATGGATATTCAACGCGCATCCTAGAGTCGCGTAGGAAGGAAGGCGGTGGGCGAATGGGATATAATTGGCGTCAGTGGTACCTGGCTTGGGTAGTGGGTATTGCCGCAAGCGTACTAGCGCCATATTTCCAGACGCGCCAAGGACCGTCGACATTATTCTCCCATGGCTCTGGCTGTATACTGCGCATTCACCTCTCCGCACCAACACGCTTTCAACGCGTCCCTTGCATCCCCCACGACCCCGCACAGTCGCCACACACTGCACCACAAATACTGGACGACGGCGACAGCAAGACGATTTCAAATCGACGCGGCGAGCAGCCCAAACAGGCAATATGCCGCGGAAGAGCGCTGCAAAGGCCGAAGAGCCATCTTCTGAAGACGTGTCGGCGCATTCCGATGTCGACATGCAAGACCAGCAGGAGGATAAGATGAGCGGTTTCAAGAAGTTCGGAGTAAGTGCAACCTGGCCTGGCGCCTTTCTGCGTCATGAAAGACGACTTCATTGCACATTGAACATTCGCTGACGTTTTCATGGCAGTACAATCTAGATACCCCAGACTACACAGTACGCACCAATTGCCTGCCGCGCCGCGTGGTTTCTGTCCACAAACTGACAATGCCATAGGACTCCGACACAAACACAAGGGGAAACAGTGTCGCAGGCGACAGCGCCCCCCCTGATGGCAGAAAGCGACGCGCAGAAGAGATGAACATGCGCAAGTCCATGTACGGCAAGAAGGCTGAGGGCCTAAGGGCATCAATGGTAAGCAGCACCAAACGGCCCATCGCGTCCCAAAGGGGCCCCGACTGATTCGAGAACATCATTGCAGGAAGACGACACCATTCGCCGCTTTCGATACCTCCTTGGTCTCACTGACCTGTTCCGCCACTTCATCGACACAAATCCCAACCCGCGCATCAAGGAGATTCTCGCTGAGATCGACCGTCAGGACGCCGAAGAGAGCAGCAAGTCAAAGGCCAACAAGATTCGCAAAGGTGGCGCTGCTGCCGAGCGTCGGCGCAAGACTGAGCAAGAGGAAGACGCCGAGCTGGTGCGCGAGGAAAAGCATGGCGGTCACAACGAGACGGTTTTCCGCGAGTCACCAGGCTACATTCAGGGCGGTACAATGCGCGACTACCAGATTGCTGGTCTCAACTGGCTGATTTCGTTGCACGAAAACGGTATTTCAGGTATCCTGGCTGATGAGATGGGTTTGGGAAAGACGCTTCAGACCATTTCCTTCGTCGGCTATCTCCGCTATATTGCCGGCATCACTGGACCCCACCTGGTCGCAGTGCCCAAATCGACCCTGGACAACTGGAAGCGCGAGTTTGCCAAATGGTGTCCTGAAATCAATGTCTTGGTGCTACAGGGTAGCAAAGATGATCGTGCCGAACTCATCAAGGACCGCCTCGTCCCCGATGGCTTTGACGTGTGTATCACATCCTACGAAATGATCTTGCGCGAGAAGTCGCACTTGAAGAAGTTTGCGTGGGAGTACATCATCATTGATGAGGCGCATCGTATCAAGAATGAGGAGTCGTCACTGGCACAGATGGTTCGCATGTTCAACTCGCGAAGCCGGTTGCTCATCACCGGTACCCCTCTTCAGAACAACCTCCACGAACTTTGGGCTTTGCTCAATTTCCTTCTCCCAGATGTGTTTGGTGACTCAGCTGCCTTTGACGATTGGTTTTCACAGCAGAATGAGGACTCCGATGCAGTTGTCCAACAGCTACACAAGGTTCTTCGACCCTTCTTGCTCCGCCGTGTCAAGGCCGATGTCGAAAAGTCACTGCTGCCCAAGAAGGAAATTAATCTCTACGTGGGCATGTCGGACATGCAGGTCCAGTGGTACAAGAAGATTCTTGAAAAGGACATTGATGCAGTCAATGGCGGCGCTGGAAACAAGGAGTCCAAAACCCGCCTTCTCAACATTGTCATGCAACTGCGAAAGTGCTGCAACCACCCTTACCTGTTCGAAGGCGCCGAACCCGGTCCTCCATACACTACCGACGAGCATCTGGTTACCAACTCAGCCAAGATGGTCATGCTCGACAAGCTGCTGAAGCGTATGAAGGCCCAAGGCAGTCGCGTGCTTATCTTCTCCCAGATGAGTCGTGTGTTGGATATCATGGAAGATTACTCCGTTATGCGTGATTACAAGTACTGCCGTATCGATGGTTCAACCGCACACGAGGACCGTATCCAAGCGATTGACGACTACAACAAGGAAGGCTCGGACAAATTCCTGTTCCTCCTGACAACGCGCGCTGGTGGCCTGGGCATCAACTTGACTACTGCCGACATCGTCGTTCTCTTTGATAGCGACTGGAACCCACAGGCCGATCTTCAAGCCATGGACCGCGCTCACCGTATCGGCCAGACCAAGCAGGTATATGTGTTCCGATTTGTCACCGAGATGGCCATTGAAGAAAAGGTGCTCGAGCGCGCGGCACAAAAACTACGTCTGGATCAACTAGTCATTCAGCAGGGTCGCACGCAACAGCCTGTGAAGAATGCAGCATCCAAAGACGAGCTCTTGACCATGATCCAACACGGCGCAGAGGCAGTATTCCAGAGCAAGGGCCCTGTTGGATCAGCTGCTAGCGGCGAACTCGGAGATGATGAATTCGACGCGGTCATGCGCCGTGGCGAGGAGATGACCGAGAAGCTCAACAAGAGGTATGAGGCCCTTGGTCTCGATGACCTTCAAAAGTTCACATCCGATTCAACCTATGAATGGAATGGCGAGACGTTCCAGCCCCGCAAGAAGGAAATTGGAATCTCCTGGATTAACCCATCAAAGCGTGAGCGCAAGGAACAAAACTATGGTATCGACTCGTACTACCGAAAAGCTCTTGTGACTGGCGGCCGAACAGAGAACAAGCAACCCAGGATACCTCGCGCACCAAAGCAGATTGTCATTCATGACTACCAGTTCTTCCCAGAACGCCTCGCAGAACTCCAAGACAAGGAAACAGCATGGTATCGGAAGGAGAACAATCTCAAGGCGCCTCTTCCGGAGGGTTCCGATGAGGACCTCGAGGCTCGCGAGGCTGACCAACAACTTGCACAACAAGAGATTGACAACGCCGAGCCATTGACAGAAGAGGAAAAGGCGGAGAAAGAGCGACTGATTGAAAAGGGTTTCCCTGAGTGGAATAAGCGTGACTTCCAGCAGTTCCTCAACGGTAGTGCCAAGTATGGTCGTCAGAATTACGAAGGTATCTCGGAAGAAGTTGACGGCAAGACTGCTGAGGAAATTGAAGCATACGCCAAGGTATTCTGGAAAAAGTACAAGACGCTGGACAACTGGCAGAAACACTTGGGTGTGATTGAGGAGGGCGAGCAACGCGTACGACAATCAGAGGAGAAGAAGCGGTTGATCGCAAAGAAGGTTGGCATGTACCGCATGCCCCTCCAGCAGATGCAGATCAAGTACACGGTATCGACGACGAACAAGAAGGTGTACACTGAAGATGAAGACAAGTTCCTTGTAGTTATGCTGCACAAGCATGGTGTCGAGGGCGACTTTATCTACGAGAAAATCCGCGATGAAATCCGGGAGTCGCCATTGTTCCGCTTCGATTGGTTCTTCCTGAGTCGCACGCCACAGGAGATTGGCCGTCGTTGTACTACGCTAATCTCAGCCATTGTGCGCGAGCTCGGTGACGGGGATGCCAAGAATAAGAATGGCAAGCGGGGATACGAGGAGGAGGAGACGGAGGAAGAGGAGGAAGAGCAACCAAAGAAGAAGACCAAGAACGGCGTCAAGGTACGTTGAGATGACGGGTAGTCTACTTGACCCAATTGCACTGCTAACATGGAACAGAATAAGCAACTGGACACTGTAAAGAGCAAGGCTTCTCCCGCCTCGGCAACGCCGTCTCGAGCAAGCAGTGTAGCGACAAATGGATCGGCGACCAAGGGATCAGCAACCAAAGGATCAGCAACCAAGGGTAAGGGCAAGGGGAAGGGCAAGAAGAAATAAGGCATTACAAAGGCTCGGTATGGGAAGCGGGCATGATACGGTGTTTTTGGCGCATGTGCAGCCGGGTTACAGCGGACGTTTTTATTTTACTTCACCATACTCGGCATGGTCAGCAGGTGGCATGTTGAGTTTACTAGATGTTGCAAGGCGACGTCTGGTGTTGTGCACTTGGCATTCTGCATGTGTAATAGTATCGAGAGAATATTAAGAGGTTTGCAAGGACAAGGTCTTCACGTGAAGGGATACGTGATTGGCGCGTCGGAGAGTGTAGCGAAGCGCACGAGGGCGGCGGTGGCTGCGGGGTGACGCACCTTGTCACGGTGACTTGGTTCTCTTGGCTTTTGAGCTTTTGAGCATAACCAACAACAACATCGACATTTGCACTGCTTTGACGCTACTGCTGGTAGTCCATGTAAGTACTACGTGTGTTGTGCAGTGCTTCGAGAACATTCTATTGTATCCCGGCCTTTTGCTGAGTAGCATCGACCGCCTTCACAGCAGACTCCCGCTTCACACCACACCACACCACTAGGCCATCTGCGCCCCTCGATCCCATATCTCAGTGCGCCCGCTTGAATTACATCGCGACCATGGCCTCGACCGCCCTCATCGATGCCGACATGGCGCCGACACTCCAGTCCATCCTCGACCAGAAGACACTCCGGTGGATATTCGTTGGCGGAAAAGGTGGTGTTGGCAAGACGACGACATCGTGTTCGCTCGCCATCCAGCTTGCAAAGCACCGCAGATCAGTCCTCCTCATCTCGACCGACCCCGCCCACAATCTATCGGATGCCTTCAACCAGAAGTTTGGCAAGGACGCGCGACTCATCAATGGCTTCGATAACCTCAGCGCCATGGAGATCGATCCCAACGGAAGTATACAGGATTTGTTGGCAAGTGGAGCAGAAGAGGGTCAGGATCCTATGGCTGGCCTGGGCGGAATGGGCAGCATGATGCAGGACCTCGCATTCAGCGTATGTACACCATACCAAACCCTCGAGCCGCAGTCGAGTAAAGCGAGGTGGGGATACTGATTGCTACGGACAGATACCTGGTGTAGACGAAGCCATGTCGTTTGCCGAAGTGCTGAAGCAGGTCAAGTCCATGTCGTACGAAGTCATCATCTTCGATACGGCGCCCACCGGACACACGCTCCGCTTCCTCCAGTTTCCCACTGTCATGGAAAAGGCCCTTTCCAAGGTCTCACAGCTCTCCCGCCAGTTTGGACCCATGCTCAACTCCTTTCTTGGCTCGTCAGGTAGACTACCAAACGGACAGAACATGGATGAGCTGATTCAGAAAATGGAAGCGTTACGTGAGACGATAGGCGAGGTCAATGGCCAATTCAAGGACGCCGATCTTACAACATTTGTCTGTGTGTGCATTCCCGAGTTCCTTAGTCTGTACGAGACGGAGCGCATGATTCAAGAACTCAACAGCTACGAGATTGATACACACTCGATTGTCGTCAATCAGCTGCTGTTCCCCAAGCAAAGCAACCCCTGCGAGCAATGCAACGCGCGACGGAAAATGCAAAAGAAGTATCTTGACCAGATCGAAGAACTGTATGATGAGTTCAACGTGGTTAAGATGCCGTTGTTGGTTGAGGAAGTGCGAGGCAAAGAAAAACTTGAGAAGTGGGTATTTGCGTGCTGGCTTGAGAGCTGTCATACTAATCAAGATTCCAGATTCAGCGAAATGCTCGTAAACCCCTTTGTACCTCCGCAGTAATTCCGCACATCCAACGGCACATAGGGCCGCATGCACGCAACCGAGGGCACATTCGCGACGCTCAGGCGCAAAAGAGCCGTGGTTTTCTTTTTTGCCGATGACTTGCCGTCTCCACCCTACGGTAATTTGCACTAGTATTCAGGTTTTTTCCACGTTGACCGTTTTCCCCCACACTTCACGACTCGAGGGGAACGGAGAATGGTACCTTTAGTGACTAGCTTCGATCTGTGGCGGCAGTAAATACATGAATCGAAATGGCTACTACTAAGATGATTATCAACTGTTTCCGCTTTGTTGTACATGTCCGTTGACAGCTGACTCCGGGTACCTTACGCCTTATCGGCGCAGTGTGGCATGTTCCTGTTGTGGATGCATGAGCCACAGTTTGTCAGGCGTCGCTGGATACCCCGCGAAAGTCCCGAAACACTAACTGCAACAAGAAGTGACACCGAACGTCGTCTAGTCCAACCTATACCAATCCGGCAACCTCTTGTGCCTATTAGTCCACGCTTCGGACTGTTTTGATTGTGGTGGTGTCGAGACTTCTGGCTATTATCAGCGAACTGTCCACTTACGCCCGCTACGTCACCACTATTTACCCCGCATCGTCCATGTTTGGGAAAATGCTAGCGAACTTCCTGTGGCCCCCAATACCGACGGTCTTTGTACTCAGCCACAATGTTTTCGTGCATATACAGTAAACTGAGTGTGAAACACCATGCGAGGCAGAACCCAGGCTCGCCTTGCTATAACGCCTTATTGAAAGGGGCTTTTTCTTTGCTCTGCGTTCCAGAAAAGAACAATTCTTCCGGCTCTTCACGCTGCAAACTCGCAAACCTGGGTATGGCCTAGGTCAAACTTTGTCCGCGTATGCTGATTCTTGACCTGTTGACTTATTGGACACTTGGATCTTTGGGAACAAACAGTAGCCCAAAACTGTCGTTCACGCCGCGAGCTACACAACGCCCATATCCGTGCATGCGTTCGGCGTGCTGTACCATGCATACAATATCCGCGTGCAGGAAAAAACCACCAGTGATGTGTCGAGACATGTCGCTGGCTCTAGGCTCGATGTCGTGGCCTAGTCGCTGGGTGGAGCTTGGGTATGACCTCGGAACCCGAATCTTACCAGTGTTCTACCCAGAACTTGAGCTTGCATATGATCGCCTTCCGTTTTAGTACAAATACGGTCACGGGGCTGAGTATGGCACTAACATGGTGGCCCCTGGCGTACCTGGCACGAGGTTCTCCAGCGGCTACCCAGCAACGGCGAAACGTCTAATCTTAGTAAAGTCTGCCTGCCTGTATCCCTGACAGGGCGCTACTCGACCCCAGCTCGCGTGGTTGTGGTCTTGACAGATGTCGATCACTGACCGGGGTTGTACACCATTACGGCTATCCACTTGCCGTCAGTACCACTTAGCAAGATGGCTCTGAGGGACTCGAGGCCTCGTATATAGAATGCATGTATTCTCACTGTTTGGATGATCCAGGCGTTGTGCACAGTTTTCTCCTCGTCCCAGTCCTCTTGATCCACTGAAGGCACATTGTGTTGCTGCTGTCCAGCCAATTGATCATCTTCGCAACAAGATCACGTAAAAGCATACATACCCTTTTACAATGCTCGGAATAGCCACCCTCCTGCTCAGTGCGGTTTACTCCGTTACTGCTGCACCAGTCGAGATTGAGAAGAGAGGTATGTATATCCGATGCACAGTGACTGAGGCTTCAACTGACTCTCTTCAGCTGTGTCGGCAAACGTCCTGGATCAGCTCCAATTCTTCTCGCAGTACTCAGCTGCTGCATACTGTCTGGGAAACAACAACAGCCCAAACACCAAGGTCACCTGTCCTCAGGGCAACTGTGCTCGCGTCGAGGCAGCAAACACCAACACTGTCACCGAGTTTGAGAATAGCATCAAGTCAGATGTTACCGGCTTTGTTGCAACTGACACGACCAACAAGCTTATTGTTCTGTCCTTCCGAGGATCGAGGAGTGTACGCAACTGGCTCACCAATGTCCAATTCCCTGTAGCGGATACCACGATTTGCACTACATGTGCGTCATCCATTGGTTTCTGGCAGAGCTGGCTGGAGGCACAGACCAATGTAGTTTCTGCCATCAACAAGGCAAGGCAGCAATATCCAACCTTTAAAGTGGTTGCAACCGGCCACTCGCTGGGTGGTGCTCTTGCAACCCTGGGCGCTGGAGTGCTCCGCTCCCAGGGCATTGCGGTCGATCTTTACACCTATGGTGCCCCCAAGATTGGTCTCGAGGCCGTTAGCAGTTATATCAGCCAGACAAACATGGGCGCAAACTACCGTGTCACCCACAAGGCCGATCCTGTACCAAAGCTCCCCCCTGCGGCCCTGGGCTACCGCCACATCTCGCCCGAGTACTACATTACCACCGGAAACGACGTGCAGCCTGGCACTGGAGACATCAACGTGCTCACTGGTACATTGAACCTGAACGGAAATGAGGGAGACTTTGGACTAGACGTCAACTCACACTTGTGGTACTTTGGACCCATCAGCGCGTGCGAGGGATACCCCGGCATTGAAATTAAGCAATAGTCAGCATGTATCATATCAAAAAAAAGAAAAATAATGACTAACGACATTCAAAAAAATGTAAATACATGTTTTTATTAGCTTACTACTACATCTTCATACCTGCCACTTTCCCCTTCTCGGGCTCCCCTTCATCGTTTTGATACAGCCGATTGACCTGGACTTCGCGCAGCCACAGCCGAAACGACTTATCCAGCGTCTTCCTATTCATAACTGCGCAATCCTTGATTTCCTCGGACGAAAGATACTGCACCGCCTCTGCATCACCCCCCGCAATGGCAATCGCACGCTGCAACAAGACACAGTTTTTCTGCGTATAAATCGCACGATACACGGCTTCTTCGATGCTCGTGCCAAAGGTTGTAAAACCGTGTTTGTGTTGTAGTACGACCGGACTCTCCATGCGCAGCTGCGCGGCGAGTGCCTCTCCCAACTCTGCATTTTTAATTAGTAAGTCGCGTTCCGTCGGCGCCCGCGACGTGCCGTACAGACGATCCATGGTGAATACGGCAGCCCCGCTCTGGCCCAGGAACCCGGCCATGTGGAACACGGGACGCACGGGGTGCGGATGCGCGGCGCCATGAGCAATGGTAAAAGGGATTACGTCTTCAGAATGCGAGTGTACGACGCAATTGGCTTTTGGGAATTTCCGCAGTATCTCGCCGTGGATGAAGCGCTCGCTGTAGCCTTGGGGCGCATCTTTGTCGACGGGGGACGAGTCCCGGACCCAGTAGGAATTGAAGTCGCTGACGTTTTTGACGAGGGCTGGGGCGCCTGGGTCGTAGGCGGCGATGATGTATTGGTCTTTGTTCAAGGGGTGGCGGACTGAGATATGGCCGAAGGCGTCGACGAGGCCGTGGTGGTGGAGGATGTGGTTTGCGCGGATGAGGAGGCGCAGTTGCTGTTGAAGCGCGGGTGGGATCGACATTATGGTTGAGCGGTTGGACTGGGGGATTTCTGGGGGAGGTTTTATCTGGGAGAGCGAGGATTGCGTGGAGTAGACTGAGGAGGAAGAGGATGCTATTGATGTGGTTGAGGTTGATGCTGCTTGCGAGACTGTTCGGAATCGCGATGATGGCCTTCCTCGCGGTACGCTTAACTCTCGGGGTTTATCTCGTGGCCGATATAACTCTACAGAAGGTAGAAGTTGATATGATAATTTTCGGTGGTGGGCCGGGATTGAAGGCACCTGTGGAAGGGGTGTTGACGGAGGTGGGGATGAATGTGCTCGCAACGGAGTGGGATTCACGCGAAAGTCTGGCCTCTGCAATTCTTGACTACGTTCCCGGATTCTCTGGCGCTGCGGAGATTTAGGGGGAATAGTTGGTGGTTGGAATTTCGATCGGATAGGTGAATGCGGCTCAGTGACCGGGGGCAGTCGATGCTTGTCAGCGCTGCAGCGTTGGCAAAGTACCATGTGTTTATCCAGCACTTGTTTTCGGTGCGGTTGACCCGACACAGACTGCGGATGGCCTTCAACTTAAGGCACCTTCTAGCAAATGTTTCATGGCTGAGGTGGAAATAGAAACGTTTGAAACGGCAGATGCTGATCTGGAGCCTGAGAAGTTCTTTTGCAACCCTGTGGCATCAATGTTGGAGTGCAACACTAGTACAACAAAGTGGTGATCAAGCATGGCCGCAGGGATTTGCCCCATCCTCAAAACGTGGAGTACCGCGTGTGTATTGTGGCATGCTGGCTGATGACATGCGGGAGGTGTTGTGAGTGGGGAACAGAGACGGGGTTATTGGATCCATCTGAGGGGACCCGAGGGCTACCCGCATTAGCCCTCCCGTTAGGCTTCCGACGCTGCATCCCCCCACTCTCTTCCACACCCCAAGCACCCAAGAATCCTTCAACCGGGTCATCTCCCTTATCGGGAGGGACTGTTATGCCAGCCACCAGAGCCATTATACAGGCGTTACGCCCTTTGCGCCAGCAGATAGCAGTGTTCAGCTTACCCCGCGGCACACTTGTTTACTCGTCCTGATCATGGCGGCTCGATATCTTCTTGCTGGTATCACAGCAGCGGGATTGGCCTTTTGGTACGACTTCAAGAGCTGGCAGAGTTTCGGTGACGACATCTTGCTCCACGCAAAAAATTGGCAATTGACAGCTGACAGGCACTGGCGGCACGCCACCAACGCTGCAAGGCTATCTCAAGATCCGGCGATGGGGACTTTATCTGCTCTACTCGCGACAAAATCTTTTGGATCCATCGCCAATTCCTGATTCAGGAGAATCATACATAGATCCTGAAAAGGTCCCAAACAGACAGGGACCCCGGCCAGGACTTACGCGCTGGACTCTTCCTCAGCGCCAAGTCCCAGAGAACATTACAGCAGGCGCATCCGCTGTACTTCACAATCTGATGCAAGAGTTTGCCAGCACTGCGCCTTACAACGAGTACATTGAGACCCGGCCAAGCAAAACGGAGGGTGGCACTGGCCCCGCTATTTATGTAAAAGAAGGTGTCAAGACCATCAATCCTGTCGCACACAAGATCTTCTATGAAGTTGCCCATGTTCACCCTGCAGAAAACTCGCTGCACGTTTATGTTAGTCCTCCGGATGCGAAGCTGGTCATGAAACAAGGCTGGGGCCAGCGTTTCCCTGTAACATGGATAGCACCGCCGAGCTGGATCATGGTGTACGCACCGAGAAACGAGGATGAGGTTGAGATTGTGCGAGAAATTGTTAGAGCCGCCGTATGCCATGCCGTGAGCATGAATGTTGATGAAGATATGGAATGAATAGCGTGCTGGTTCTATTTCCTGTCTTAAGGATATCGAAGTTGTTTTTCGATTCGTACAAAAATAGTTCAAAGAGACTGTAGTCAAAACGTGCTACGATTCTAAACACACTCAACCCTGTACCAAACATCCGCAAGGAAAGCATCCAGACACAAATATTCTCCGATGGTGCTATGTCCGACATGCGGCAATGACGAAGAGGAGAACCGGTATTGGCGCCCCTCGAACGCCGCTCCCGCTCCGTTGCATCAACATACACTAGCATAGGGGTCCGGCTCCAACGCCATGATCCGCTATATATAAGAAACCACAGCTACGCGGGCGTTTCATGCCGCATAGCTTTGTGGCAAGAAGTTTCCAAGATAGTATCTTTCACCCTGCCATACTGCATCCTCGCGTGCAGTCTCCCAGTTTACACGAATAAGTCCCTGTGCGCCGCTTGATGCCGGATGCAATGGGTAGCGTCGACTCAGCGATGAAAGTGATCATCATCGGAGCAGGTACAGGGCCACTATGACATTACCGCCGAACCTCCGCTTACATGGCTCAAGGACCGGCCGGATGTGCACTTGCGCATGGGCTGAAAAAAGCCGGAGTGCCATTCAGCATATACGACAAAGGCGCAGATGTTTACCGACACCGGCATTGGGCATTTACCCTTGGCTGGGCACGACCATATCTATTCGACCTCATACCAGATGACCTTAGCGCGCAGATCAACTCGTGTCAAGTGGATCCTTACGTGGACTGCGCAGCGATAGGAGAAGATCGTATTGTGATTTACAATGGCCAGACCCGGGAAGAAGCGTTTGCGTTCCCGATCCCCAAAGCAAGGGAGATCAACATCCGAAAGTTGCGCGTTTTGCTGGCCGAACGGCTCAATGTCCAGTATGGGAAAAGTTTCTCACACTATGAGATAAAAGAGCACGGCGGTGTGAAAGTTTACTTTGAAGACGGATCCACGGACGAAGGCGACTTGCTCGTTGGCATCGATGGTGCCATGTCCAAAGTCCGCCGTTGTCTGCTTCCCAAAGAGGGAAACATGGAGACGCTGCCGTTCGCACTCATGAACTTCAACGCTTCTTACACCGCTGAGCAAGCGCATTTTATCAAGGAGCGTCTTCACCCCCTTGTAGACATTGCCATTCACCCAGCTGGCCACTACATCCGTGCCAATGTGCTCGACATGCCCAACGAAAAAGATGCCAGTACCTGGACATTTCAGATTCTCTCCACATGGCCCCTCAAATACGTTGAAGACCATGACAATGATGATGATCGACTGCAAAGACTGAAAGCGCACATCAAAAGAGACGGCTGGGCCGAGCCATACAAGAGTGCCATCGAATGGATACCTGACAACACCAACGTGCTACGCGATCAGCTCAAGATCTGGAAAACAGTCCCCTGGAACAACCACGGCGGGCGAGTAACACTATGCGGCGACGCAGCCCACGCCATGACGTTCCACCGCGGCCAAGGCGCCAACAACGCTTTTTACTCTGCCCACTGTCTTGTCGAAGCTATCAAGAGTGTACATTCTGGTAGCGCGACATTACAGGACGCGATTACGGCGTATGACGAGAGTGTTTGGAAGCGCGGAGCGAATGAGGTGCAGATTTCAAAGGCGCAGAGCTTCTTTACGCATGATGGGTTGGATAATTTTATCAATAGCCCTGTTATGAAGTTGGGAACTAAGCCGAGTCATAATGCGAAGAGTGAGGGGTATGAATAGGTTTGAATAGCTAGAAAATTCACATTCTTTGCTCTATGGTAATTCGTTTATGCAATACTGTGATGACTAGCAAACGTTTTATAGGTGAAGACACTTAAAGATGTATGACTAGGCTATCATTGAGATACCCTCGCTCCTAATAATTGAAAAGAAATACCAGGCTGTTTTCAGTAATCTTGACAGCAGCTACATTGCATATGGTATAGCGCTTACACTCTGCCCCAGTCTGCATCACCCTATGTAGATAGCTTTAGTCTACCACTATGGTAAAAGCTACTTCCCTAGTGCAACTACTGAATCTTTGCAAATGAGTCTGAGCACGAGCGCTGACTCCACAGATATCTGGTTGGCATCCCCATAACATTCTTTGAGGAGTCGAAATTGCTGGATGAAAACTACGTCCAAGAACAGCCCTAATCGCTACAGAAGTTACTAAAATAACGGGCATAAAACGTACAAAAGAGCCGAAGTCTTACGTAGCACATTTTGATATATCTGCTAAGTTTTAATAGCTAAATAGTGCGAGGTGTCCGCGTTATCAAGCAGTTGCACAAATGTGGCAAGGGAACATCTTTAGATGAGCACAATGAGCCATGGAAAACCATTGCCTATCGCTATATACTTGTGGTTGTGCTACTCTCCCAGTCACTCAGTCCTGCCAAGAGGTACTAATCACTGATCACTGATCAAATCACGTAACGGCGGCATGCTTGGAAGGATTTGTCTGTATCGTCTTAAGGTGTGTCTTCTGATGACTGGTGACAGTTCTTTGGGTACCAACCCACGAAGGAAATCTGGGAAACGAAGCGGTCGAGCCTGACCAAGAGGAATGGCCATTTCTACAAATTTTCTACCGTATTTTTCGAGACTCAAACGAGATAACAATCCCATATGCAGAGATCCAGAAATGAGTTTAACCTTTGAACAAATCACCATCGTATCATCGAAGACATTTGAGTTCTATTGAAAATTACTATTGATAAAGATAAGCCTCTGTTTCTCTACGCTAATTCGTTCAAGCGATTATAAGGTTTGGGTCTGACTAAGAGCTAGTCTCTAATTCAATTGTATCTGGAAAGATCGGAGAAACATACAAGTATTATGGAGAAAGAAACTGGGAAGAGCAGGGCTCGAATATCATTCTACACGTATACTGACATTTATCGCTCTCCCGACCGGCACGGGTAGGTGTAAGTTGAAGCCAAATGCATTGAGTTTGGGAGCTGCATTGGGCAGCTCTTTTCATACATATATGGCCAGTGAGCTGTTCATTACTGGTATTCTGCCCCAGCACAAAAATTAGATAAAGGACGTAACGTCTTCATTCTAGGGAAGATGCGTCTTCTCGGATATGCCTTGTTCAGCCTTAGTAGCTTTGTGGGGACCACACTATCCACTCGAAACACCGTTCACGAGAAGCGAGACACAGTGTCTTCAGTATGGGAGAAGCATTCAGCAGCCACAGGAAACATGATATTGCCTGTGCGCATTGGATTGAAGCAACAGAATCTTGAGAATGCCGAACGCTTTCTCCAAGACATTTCTGATCCGGATTCACCGAATTATGGTAATGAACTCAGCTTTGTAGAGAAGCATTACTCTGATACGTGGGTTTAGGAAACACTGGACTGCCGAGCAAGCCGCTAATACATTTGCGCCACACCAAGAAGCGACTGAAACCACTCTTGGATGGCTCTGTGATTTGGGTATAGCTAGTGAACGGATGAAGCAATCAGTCGGTGAGTGCTGGATATTTAAAAGAGTATCTATACATCATCTGATTGTGCAGGACGCAACTGGTGGGAATTTTCCGCCACCATCGCAGAGCTAGAAAAGCTCCTAGAAACTCGGTACTTCAACTATCAACACAAGAAGTCTGGTGGCTTTCGCGTCGCATGCGAAGAATACAGACTTCCATAGCACATACGCAAATATGTCGACTTCATTATGCCTACGATCTAACTTGACGGATTGCAACCGATTGCGCACGCCCTTGTGTCGGACTCGGAGATACTCGGCTACTTGAAGTCAGATAATCTTACACACTGCGCGACTCTCATGACGATTAACTGTCTACGTGCACTTTATGGCTTTCCGGCTGGTAAGTTCTCTAGTCCAGAGAACGAACTCGGGATACCGGAGCGGACGGAAAACCTCTCCTTCGTGGATCTGGATGAGTTCTTTGCGAAATATTCGCCCCCCAGGATCCCTACAGGCACCGTACCAGAAATCGCTCAGGTCAATGAGGATAAGACTGGGAATGGAAACGGTGATACTGGACCCTCTCTTTTTGAAGCCGAGATGGATGTCCAGACTGCTTATTCGATTATCTGGCTCCAACAGATACGCGTTTATCAGGTCCATTCCCCGGAGAGTGTAGATGCCATTGGCCCATTCAACGTCTTCCTGGACGCTCTGGTAAGCTTGACCCCTCGATTTGCTCCACTAGTCGCTGACTTGGCCAGGAAGGTTCGTACTGTACGTATCTCGGTGCCAATGAAACTGGGATGCTGCAGTGCGGTGGAGTGCCACTCAGTAACGTCATTTCCCTCTCTTTTGGCCAAGTTGAAGGCGATGGCCCTAAATCATACCAGGAAAGACAGTGTCACGAGTGGATGAATTTAGCACTGCAAGGTGTTAGTGTCTTAATTGTATCAGGAGACTCTGGAGTTGCAAATATGGTTGATGGAAACAACGAGTGTCTCGATGCTAATGGCAAAAGCGATGGCAACGGAAACGGCAAGCGCTTCTCTCCCGGCTTTCCCTCAAACTGTCCCTACGTAAGCCCCCTGATAATTTGAAACCAACATATCTACCTGGCGTGTCTTAACAACGATCAGGTCACGGTTGTCGGCGCAACAACACTACGCGATGGAACCATATCCAGTGGAGAAATGGTAGTCAAAGATATCGTAGGCAGCCGATCATTATACTCTGGCGGCGGCTTCTCAAACATTTTCTCCCGCCCAGACTGGTAATCTGCAGCAGTCTCCAGATACCTAGAAGAGTACTCGCCCAAGTACGATAGCTCAGTCTTCAACTCCTCCGGACGCGCATACACGGACGTTTCGGCGATAGGCCTTCATATACCAGTCGTATACGGCAATGTAACTCGGCGCGGGGGCGGCACATCGGTAGCAACCCCCCGATCTTTTACAAGCATCCTGAGATGTTCAATGATGTGACGGTTGGTAGTAATCCGGGGTGTAGCACTGAGGGTTTTGTAACGAGCCCCGGGTGGGATCCGGTTACAGGGCTGGGAACGCTGAGGTATGAGAAGATGAGGGAGGTGTTTTTGTCACTTCCATAAAATCAGGGAATCATGGGGTGTAGCATGTAGACAAGTACAGCGACACATGTAATTGTGGATTAGGGAGTTGAGCAAATATAACTGAAAAACTTGAACCAGGCATCGTGAAAACTATTGATTGTTAATTTGCTGGCTGATTTTCACTAGTATGTGTGTGATACTTTGCTGTATTCACAGATTCTGCGTGAGTAGAATGCAGCATTCGAAATCTACGAGACTACGAACTGCATCTCTGGAAACATCTCTCCCAGCAGCGTCTCTGCGGGTCATTCGATCTGCACTATGAGTTGTTTGCATACTGCTAATTCTTCATCCGTCAAGCCCCTGAATATACTAGAATATCAGTTGACTGAAAAACGAGTGTTCGTGAAGATCTGATACCGTTCCAGCCCATCACGCATTACCTCCGAGAAACCTGCATTGCAAGTCTTCTATCCACGTTACCAACGCCTTTCTCTAAGCGACAGAATCTTTCATGTCAACATCCATCTCCCTATTTGCAACAAACATCAGCACACAACGTCAGCCAAGTTACCCCACGTTTTCAGCTCGCCGCCACAACCTATGATGCCCGTCCCCCATATCCCGCGCGTAGCGCGCTCTGATTAGAAGAGCCTCCACGTTAGCACAAAGCACAAAATCATGCCGTGTAACTATTCCCCGGCTGATCGGCAGAGGTCGGGGTTGCCGAGACAAATCTATTCCTCCGAAGGAAGCTGTGGTTGCAATTTCGATGGTCATCAAGATGCGCCAAGGACATGGGGGGGGG